GTGAGAGCACAAGCTCAGTGGGTTCCGTCAACCCAGATCAGTGTCATCTCTATTGGGGTGGATGGAAAATCTGTCTCTCTCTCTTTTTCAATTTATTTTCTTTTATTTCCATTTTCTTAATTGAGATGAACAGCGACGTACATTTCAGAAAACAATGGATTAGAGACTGATGTGGTCTTATTTTAATGGATCGCGATCAGCTAAAATACTCAATAGATAAAAATCCACTCTTTCTCTTTCTGTGTTTTGTTCACCCTAACCTGCCAATGTTGCAGCGCTGCTCTGAATAAGGCCAGGCGCTACAGTGAAGCATTTCACTGCATATGAGAGAGTGTGTAACTCTGGTCACCATTAGCAGAGAGTGGTATCCAAAACAGGGAGCATCTTCTCCTGTTAATTCTGTTTGTTACCAAAGGTTTCATTTCATTTTTCCTTTTCCAATGCGAGGGTCTAAGGACATAGGATGTCATATTCTGTACAAATTGTAAAGCCCTTTGAGGCAAATTTTTGATTTTGGGCTTTACAAATAAATTGAAAATAAAATAAACTTTATAGCAGGCCAGAATGAAACTCACTTTCGTGAGGGAAGGCGCTCCACTCTGTAACACCACGGCACAATCCGAGTGGCCAAGCGTTCCTGCCACAGTGTGATACTTCTTCTCTCTAGCGGATTGCCTCACGTCAGTTTTCTGAGATCTTTTCTGAGATCTCCCACTCTCCATTCTCCCACCAGGACCTTCAGCATTTGGCTCAAGCAGCTCTTTAAGTAGTCTACAGCTGTTATTTAAATGTGTCAGATTCATATTCAATAATTGAAGTGTATGTAGTATCAGATAGGACTCGGAGTGGGCAGATACCCAATATTATACAATACTAAACAAGCTCTGATAAACCCATTGTGGACTACCTGCTCAGCAGCAAACTGCAGACAGACAAATCACTTGTATTATTTACAATATGAAATGAACACAGCGAGCAGAGAGTGGAGCAACAACAGCAGACAGACCACGGCCACACACACTGTGACCCTGACATATGGACGCTGGCCTCTGCGGGTGGTTTGGGGTTTTTGGTATTTGATAACAGCAGGAGGGTATTTCACAGAGAGGGGGAGTTAATCAGCTATCATCATATATAATTTGTTTCTGATGGATCTGTCTCCTCTATGTGTGTATAAGCTGTTTGCTGTGTATTTCATACTGTTGCAGGTGTTTGATTGTTTGTTTGGTTTTATTATTATTATTGTCTCAGTCCATCATATGTTCTGTAGAGGAACTGAAGGATTTGTCACCGTCTTAAGAGTTTGTACTCAGCTCTGTTGTGTATATATAAAGTTGATGTGTGTTTTTTGACTACATGTTTGTTGTAGGGTTGCACATTTTGTATTGTTGTACGTGTTAACAATCAATTGTTAATTTTTGACACAAGAAAATGCTTAATGAGGTCGTTTTTAAACTACTGCCTTGACCCATAATTACAGCAAAATCCAAATAAAGGTGTTTGAACAATAGTTTCATCAATCATTAAATCTAAGAACAAATTAAATGCCTCCAATCAGTTGAATTAATTTGAACTATAGCAGTAATTTAAAATATAAAGTGACAGCTCTATAGCAGGGCGGTAAAATATAAGAGGTTTAAATCTGGACAGATAATAATTAATTCCCCAAAAAATCTGGATGGATTTGAATATTTCTGATGATTAACGTGGATTAATATCTCATTAAGGAGTTTGTTTTTTCATGTACAGATGTTTGTCCACCTGCTGTGAAGCTCTTTAGATCTTCAAAATAGAAGCCATTTTTCATGTCAAGCGTATAAACAGTGTTGCAACTAATTTATGATTATTGCCATCATCAAGCAATCTGGTGCTTACTTTCTTGACTAATTGCTTATTCATAAAATATCATAAAATAGTGAAAAGTGTCCATTATAAGTTCCAGAATCCAAACTGATGTGATTATGTCTCACTTTGTCTGACCAACAATCGAAAACTCAAATGTATTCAGTTGACAATGTTAGAAAAGAGAAAATAAGAACAGAAAAGTAAATGTTTTGAAACAAGATTACATTCTCTTACCAGAGCCTCAGCAGTATGTTGTGTGGCTCGCTTCAGATGTTCAAATATTAAGGAAAAGAAGACGTTTTTAGACAGCAGAGATTACGACAGAAAAGTGGAAGAAATGACTGGAGTTTTATGGATTCATGAAACCAAATTACGATGACATGAGTACCAGCATCGCTTGTAGTTTTTCCTTCAGTTACAAAACAATTGTTGTGTAACAGCTGCAGTAGTAGAGCTGTCTTTGATGACGGGAACTATAACTCTGGGAACACGTTTGACTCTTTTCAAAAGGACAAATGACAGAAATGTTGAATGAGAGATTGCATTGAGTGATGCTGCGTTCACACCAAACGCGTCGCGAATTCATCGCGCCGCATATTCGCGTCCATCGCGCCGCCGGTCAAAACGCCGGGGACCAAGTGTTCATTCGCGCGAATCGCGCTGGACGCACCGAAGAGGGGGCGTGGCTTATCGCCCTGAAAGCCGTTCAACTGTCCGCCATTAACCATGGAAAAAATAACCTCTATTTCTGCTTTGTATGTGTTGTGGAAGTCACAGATATCCCGGGAAACTAAACGCCGTCATGTCTGGGTTCATAATATTGTCCAGAGGAGCTCCATGGATTTTATCGAGCTGTATTCACTGTGTCTAGCAAGCCACACAAGTCGCTGTTTACTACAGCTGTACACACACACATTTATACACATAGTTTGGTCCGGTCTCTATTGATATGAGGTATCGTAGAGCTCTGGGTGAACACAGACGGCTACAGTATTTATTTCTTGATTCAACAACGGCAGGACGTCACTGATAACAGGGGGAGCAACTCAACGCTGATAGGCTATCGCGCCAGGGCGTAACGCGAATATTTCGCAGAAGTTGAAAAATGTCAACTCGCGCGTCGGGGCGATTTGGCGTTTGACGCGGATTCGCGTCCATCGCGCCGCAAATTCGCGTCCATCGCGACGCGCCATCGCAGATTCGCGCCGCGACAGTCTCATCGCGTCTGTGCATAGACTTTGTATGTAATCTACTCGCGCGAATAATTCGCGACGCGTTTGGTGTGAACGCAGCATTACAGAAACTATTCTGGATAAGGGTGGTTGCTTCATCGGCTTCAGGGGTTTCTTTTAGTTGCAGTACCGCCGTCGACCACTGGGGCAAACTGGCAACAGGCTGACTCCTCTACACTGTCTCATGGATAAAATCTTTGTGTGTGTGTGTGTGTTATGTAACTCTGAGTGTACTGTCTGAGCTCCTCTGACATTATCCTCGCAGGATCAGCTGATTAATCTGACACGGACCAATCAGATTTCAGCATTTCTCCCTGATCACGCTGACTGATTGACAGGTGCTGCTGTACTGTACTGCTGATCAATGGATTAGTGATTAATAAGGTTAATGATATTATGTAATGTGAACACAGAGGAACGAGTAGCAGTATGCTTTCATAGTTTACGGACTGACAAGAGGGGTGGACGAAATAATGTTAACACCTCCTCTTTGCAGTAAACGGATGTTATTCACACAATTCTTAAGTAATGATTTATTTTGTATTATTACAACCATATCATTATGGTTGTTCACAGACATCACATTAAGTCGGCGCTGTTTATTTTTGGTATTATTAGTGAAGTTATTTGCGTGTTGTGTTCAGGTGCTGCGTGTTGACCCCACCTCTCTCTCCCTGCAGCTGAGGTGTGTGTGCTGCAGCCAGGCGTGCTGCAGCTGCGCGACGTGTTCGCGGTGAAGGTGAAGCGGCGGCGAGCGGCGGGCCAGCAGTCGGGGGGCCCCGTGCTTGGCGTGGCCCTCTTCTGCTGCCGGAGGAGGGGGGGGAGGCTGGAGGAGGAGACGCTGCACCTCCACAACACCTCCGCAGAACACACACGAACCTGGTACAACACCCTGAAGAAGCTGCTCACAGGTAACACACACACACATGTTCAGATGGTGACAAGCTTATTAATTTTCAACAGATGAGAGCAGTGAACCCTCTTTAAGCCGGGGATGTGGTCTACATCCGTTTAACAGAACCTCCTTGGCCCCACACGGAGTCTCTGTCAACGTGATGGACTCATTGAGAAAAACAAATCCAGGCCGACTGTGAGATCGTCAGCTTTTCTGTGTTACATAAGAGCTGAGATACACTGGAAACATGACTCAGCACTTCTATGAGCGTCATACTGTAAGATGATTACACACACTGCTGAGGAATAAGACCGTTATAATAAACACTAACTGTCTTTGTCACTGTAGACAGACAGACAGAGTTAAGTATTCACATGTACACACAGTCTAATGATGTGATATTGAAATGATACCGATATATTCGTGACAATCAATCAAGTTAAATGTATTCCTGCTGGGATTTAATATTGAATCATATCAGATTTGCAACAAATGCTGGATGGATCGATTACAATCAAACTTTGTACAGTCTTTATTCCCAGATGATGAATTTTAACGCGAGCGGCGCCGTGACGTTGACATTTTGGGTTTTTAGTCAAATATCTCGACCGCTGTTGGACGGATTGCCATGAAATGTGGTACGGTCCTTCATGTCCCCCTCAGAGGACTGTAGACCGTTCTGTTCAAGTGAAGCGGAGCTGACATCGTATTGTGCATCTTAGCTTGGACTTAAGTGCATGTGATTTACATCAACTCTGGTTAGCATCCGGCTAGCTAGCTAGTCCGGACCTGTTTTCTTTTCTTTTCCAATGGACAGCAGTGGAAAAGAGGCACCCGTGATGCCCGGGGATATAAATCAAAGTCACCTTCATCTCTACAGATGGCCTCCAGTGGCATGAAAGGAAAGACAAACTTTCAAACTGTATAAACCAGGTTTACAGTAGCCGTGGTGCGAGCTGCTCGGATTATAATTTCACTGTTTTCTATCAGCCTGTTCGTCACTCAGTTTAATGAGGCGAGTCACAGTTCCATCAGACAGTTGAGCCAATCTGCTAATCCACCGGAACAAAGAGACTCTGATTACACACACACACACACACACACACACACACACACACACACACACACA